TATTCGCAAGATCACCCTCCCAGATGTGCCCACCTGGGGACCCAAGTCCAGGACATAGGAGCCCCACACCCCCCAGGGTTTTGAGCTGACCGCTTCTGTGTAGATATTTCCAGATTCTCACATTGCCCCAATTCAGAGAAGTCCTGCTTTCACGGAGGAGACCCTGGTGACAGTAGATGGTGGGAAGGAGGTTACGGAAACCCTCAGGGAGAAGTAGACGAGATCCCCGGGAAGTCTCCTTAGAGATTCCTGGATGGGACTCTATATAAAAAAATTTTTAATCCTCACCAGAGGATTTTCCATTGCTTTTCAGAAAGAGTGGAAGGAAAAGAGAGAAAGAAACATCGATGTGAGACACATTGTTGTTGCTCCAGATGAGCCCCAACCGGGTACGTGCTCTTGACCAGAAAGGGACCCGAGACCCTTCAGTCCGCAGGCCGAGGCTCTAACCACTGAGCGATCCGGTTAGGGCTGGAAAGGACTATTTATACCCACCCTCACTAAGCATGGGTTAGGTGTGCACAGAACCAGCCATTTGCACCTAGATCCTCTCCAGATATTGACACCCGCGGGCGCGCATGTTTAAACACACACACCCGCCCCCTTCCGGGAGTCCAAGTCCGGCTCCCTGGGATACCCCGGGGGCTGCCACATAGGACCCTCCGTGAACCTGGGCAGAGGGGTTACCCAAACAGCTCGCACTGAACTTGGTCTCTGGAAGGACCCCAGGATGTTCGACTGGGAACAGTTGGATGCCTCTTAGGAGCCCCGCGGAAGCTACTCCAGCCCCTGAATTCCCCAAGTGAGCCGTTTTGATGGACCCAATTTAACGACCTCGTATCCAACCCACGGACCCTAGAGAAACGGGGCGGGAGGGCCTGCAGCCCGGGGAACCCCGCCCCCGCCCGCCTGCAAGGTCCTGCACCCCACGTGAAGGCCCAGTTCTTGCAGGTGACTCCCCTTCTGGGAGGGAGGGGATCCGGCCCTGGTGCGCAGGCACTGACTCCGGAAGTATTCCCGGGCTGCCCGGGCACCTGGTCGCACTGTGGCCCACGCTCTGCCTCCTCCCCACACCTCCTGACCCCCGCCCACACGTCAGGGGTGGGAGTGGGTTCCCGAGAACCCCTGCAGCCTCTGATTGGCTACGCCTCCCTCAGCCGGCGAGCCAGAGGCTGGGGCGCAGAGTTACCATAGTAACCGGTGAGGTTCGCCCAGATCGAGTCTCTCCCAGGCCCTAGAGAGCTTAGCAACCACGCAGGGCCTCTGGGCGGATGGGGGCCGAGATCGCCGCCCCCGGCGCGGTTCTCAGCCCCCAAGTCCCCGCCAGTGGTAGTGGCTGAGTCACTCATTGAGAGAACGAGGGCGTGGCCACTCGCAGCCCCAGACAGACACCAAGGGCTCGGTCGCCCCCAAGAGGCTCCCTTTCCTCCGCAGGCGACTTGATGGCCTCGGGGCCCGGAGATAGCTCCTGGTCTCTGCGGATCCTTCTCACTCTCATCGCGTCTTCAGTCCCCCCTCACCCTGTTTCCACTCCGTGATCTGAGTCAATCTTATCCCAGTTCCTCTCTTCTGTCTCCCCATGGTGTCCTCACTAGGGAAGTGGTGAGGCTTCAAGAATGAAAATAGGGGGCTCCTGAGCTGCCAGCCTCTAGGGCAGAGAACATGCTATGGCTGAGAGGGAAAAGTGAACGGAGTGCTGGAGGGAGGCGGGAAGGTTTCTCAGAAGTGTTCTTAGAGCGGGGCTTTGATGGATGAATAGGAGTTCTCTCCCCAGGCAGGAAGGCATTACTGGAGAACAAAAACCTCTGGGACAAAGCCTGGAGACAAAAAGAGAACTCACGTTGGCCAGATCCCAAAGAGTGTGGAGGACCTCTCTAGCCCCGTTTCTGCTGTAATCTCTCCCCCTCTTGATGGGGCCAGATCTACATGGGAGGGTCTTATCGACTTACCCCCAGCCTAGCTGCCCTCCTGTAGACTTCACTCTTCTTCAGCCTTTGACCTTCCCTCCCTCCCTGGTTCCACCCTCTTCCCCACCCCAATCCAGCTCCTCTCTCTGAACACACTCCTCTCCCCAATTTAGAGCCTTCCTCAATTGATGAAGTTAGGTTGGGCCAGGATCATACATTTCCCTGCTCCTGTCCAAGGGAACTCTGCTCCACATGGCATGTCCCCTTCCTGCCAATTGTGACCTCTAGGAACTCTTAGCTCCTCCAGGAAGTCATCTCTGCTCTGCCGCACCCTTGAGAGCCCTCCCTGCAAAGCTGCTGAACCCTTGGTCTCCTTCACTCGTTATTACCCTCATATGAGCTCTATCAGTGCCTGTTATTCCACAAGTGGGTCCCAAACGTGGTCTGCTGGGGGCCAGGCTCTGAAAGTGACACTGCCTACCTGTCCTCCCCCCTCCAATTGCTGAGGCTCCTCTTCCTCTCACCCCCTTCTCCCCACACCTTTTGCCCAACTCCCCCACAGATGACCCCCCTTGCTCATTTCCGGGGAGTCCAGGCCACCCTCCTCAATTTTTCTGCCTCTCCTCGGGTCTCCAGCTTCGGACTGGTAACTGTACCCCCCACTGGGCATTCCTTCCTGGCCCAGCCTCCTCCTACATAAGCCTTCAAAGACCCCTGAGCTTCTCCGCCATCCCCCTACACCCCCATT